ACGTGAAGCGCTTAGCTATATATATTCAAGTATCAAGTATGATAAACTCCCTTTATTTCAGACAATGTCCATATCAAAAACAAACAAATGAGATTGAAATACAGAAAAATATATACCAATACAAATATTATGGTACTGCAGAACGTAGTAAAAACATTGGAAGCCATGCGTTTCTTATTTCATAACAATTTAAATTTAAATTAAATTTAAAATTTCTCGAAAGTGAAAGATCAAAGAAATACATACCGGTTACATTTAGCTCTATTCGGTTAAAGTCAGATATAAAGAAAAATATATACCAATACGGTATCTGGTACTGCAGAACGTGATGAAACCATCGGAAGACAGGCTTTTCTTGTTTCATAGCAATTTCAGTTTAAATTAAATTTTAAATTGCTCGAAAAAAAAAACGTAATATTTAGCCCTATTCGCTTAAAATCAGACATAAATGATACAACATCGGCCTAAATGTATTTTATTTTCTGTTCACGTTTACTTTGAAATCAAACAATAGCATAAGCGAGTCTGTCCTAAACATTTTAAACGTCCTTCAAGTTCCTTTGTAATACGTAGGTCTACATTGTAGGCCTACATTGTGTCCTTTCATATCAGTTGGCATTATGAAAGAAAATATCGTGTTTACTTAAGATTTTCAATTTCCCCTTTCAATTCCAACTATAAACAAATTGTCATTGCTTAAAGCTCTCATTACTGACGCTAATCTCAATACCTATCCAAAATTACATTTACTAGGTTGGGTTGTTAGAATCAGAACAAATTAATGCCACAGTATATAAGACAAATGAATATTATAGGCTTACGGCTATTTTCAGAAATTGAATTATCTTCAAAAAACGAAAAAACGAATACAGAAGAAGTCACGTAGTAACGTCCCTTCTATTCATGTTTTATTGACATTTTGTTAAACTGTTGAACTTTGTTCAAAATTAAGAATTCGACAAAACACTAATCGTCACCTTCATTCGAATTATATCGTATATTTTATAAATAGTAAGTCCACTATATACTATTCTTTTTAATGATAATATTATCTTTATTTGTAAATAAAAAGAAAACCCATCAAAATACACAATACACCTCGTGGGCCAGAGGGCAGATTGTGTATGTGCAAAAACAAATAAAGAATAAAAAAGGAGTCATTACAGTGCGATACAAAAATTAACATCAGTCAGTGTATTTCAATGGAGGAGCACTGTCGCAATAATCAAATTACCGGTGCTTGTTGTAAATTTTAATAAACAATTTCCATTTGCAAAATATGCCCAATTCGGTTTTTGTTTAATCTTTTCTATAAAGCAAACACCTATCCTGCCTCCAAGAAACTTAAGAAAACAGGAGGAATCTGCAATATACCTAGACCCCAATGAAGTCAGCGTTCCATTGAAGAATGAACCAAGGCTGTTGGTTCGAACTGATTCAGTGCTATCTGGTATTTCTAATATTTCTGACTTAACAGGTTAGTTTTTATTCTGAGTACCTTTTTTTTGCATTCATAGATGCAAAACATGATTTGAGATTGGATAGGTCTACCGTATCTCACATAATTCAATGAGTTATAACAAAAAAAGTCATGTAATATTAATTATTTCATCATATTTAAAAAGCTAAAAAGAAACATAACATCGAGACCAGCCTAAACTAGCCATTAATAACTGAATGATATGTTTTTTTGACAGTTGATGATAGCATACCACAACCGAAAACAGCTACAGATTATGCCAATGCCGTTGATGGCGCATTAAAACAATTGGAGCTACAGCAGCAGGTATGGTAATAATGTTTTCAAAGTGCAAATGTTTCAGCAGGCATGTGTGGTTCCAGAAATTTGCCATTAGGAAATCCTACAAGTTCTACCCGAGGTCCGGGCTAATGGTCCTCCAGGCAGGGTCCTACATTAAGAGAGATTTCTTGGTACAGGATGGTACAACATATGACGGTTAACCACAATATTACAAACTAACGAAATTTGGATCAAATGGAGTTCAAGCATTTCCGAAAGAGCGAAAGTGAAATTCCCTGACACGTGAAGACGCTACAACTTATAGGCTTCCTACTGACCAATGTCGTAGCCAGGATTTTCAAACAGTGCAGGGCAATATCAGGGTGGGTGGACCCACTTTACACGTAAAATCAAATAATTCGGACCAATTTTCTCTAAAGTTGGATCCATTTTAAGCAAAATTATGAAAAATCTTGACCCACTTTCTTCAGTTTACCCATTCTAAGCAAAATACGAGAAATCTGGAAGCATTATTCAAAAAGTGAACTCATTTTATGCATAAAATGCATAATTTAGACCCATTTTTTTTAATGGACCCATTCTTTGTGGACACATTAAAAAAATTATATGGGACAGTCCCAACTGTCACAATAGCTGGCTGTGGCATTGCTACTGACTAATTGTTCAATATAGCCACTTTCCAAAAAATAGATGATTTTTATTTTAAACAAATTTCCGATAACTTTCTTTTTTTTATTTTTCAGGTTGATTTCCAATCTACTGGTAAGTTGAAAGAGACTGACTACTACCAGAGCAAAACTCATTTACAAATACATTTATTTCTGAAGCTTGGAACATTTTTGCTGTATTTTTAGATCCAGTGATCGAATCTCTTGTAATCTGCTTCTCTTGATAGAAGTATATTACATTTTGTTCCTAGATTTATATTTTTATTCGAGATTCATAATTTTTCTACATTTCAAAGGTTTTGTTTAAATTTTTCTACATTCTTCCAGATACATATGTAGAGATAACAACTGGACCTAGTCTAAGGGGAAACCACAGTCAAACATACATAAACACTGGTAAGGTACTAAAGGTTATTGAATAATATGCTGTTGGAGGGGCCACGGACAGAATTCCGACTTAGTCCAAACTGACGTCAAACAGTACTAAGTGCAGGTGTATCCAGAAGTATTGGCATTGGGATATGGTGCTGGAATGAAAGTTGAGTGGGGGTTCATTTCATTTCATTTACTCGTCTCATCAAATGTCGAAAAATATACAATAAAATCAAAGTACAATGAGACTGGCTAGCCAAAAAGAAATTCAGTATCTGTCGAATTTACAAACACAATTAAAATTAGCAATAGAATAAATATAAACATTAAAATATCATACCAAATAAATATACTATACACATATTATTGTAATAAAATAATTTTTAAAACTAGGTTAAAATAGACATTTCAAGACAAGTACACTAATAATAAAAGGTTAATAATAGTAACAACCAAACGTGCCAAGACTGCACACAAAAAGTTCTTTAATTTTATTTAAAAATGGCCCTGAAATTCCAAACAAAAAGCATGTCTCTAACCCCCATGGGTAAAGCATTAGAAATTAAACACAGAAAAACTTAAATGTATTGGTACGAGAATAAGCATGGGTGAACTTAAGATTATGAGTGTTGAGGGTTGTCCAAAATGCATTTAAAGATATCGAAGGAAAATATGCCATAGAGTGATTTTGAAATGAAAAAGACAGAGAGAAATTAAATCGATTTTCAACTAAAGTGAGAGGGAAGTCCACATTACCAGCTGGCGCCACCCCTGACCCACAACTTAAACGATCTTAATATTAACCAAATTTTTCTATTAGCTGACCTAGCAATCTTCACCGAGTGTGCAAAATCACCATCTATAAAATACTCCAAAAATTGTTACCAGTTCCAAAGTGCATAACCTTACATTTGTCCAAATTAAACTGAAGTTGGCATACTACCGACCACTTATATAAATTATTGATACCATGCTGAAGAGCATCCCGATCAAAAGCTGAATTAACCATTCTTTAGAGCTTGGTATCATCTGCAAAAAAATGTTATATTTGATTCAACTATTCAACTACAGCCTTCGGTAGGTCATTTATAAAGACAACAAACAGTAGCAGTCTCAGGACGCTGCACTGGGAACACCACTGGCAACTTCACGAAAAACAGACTTTAAACCATTAACTGAAACTCTCTGCTTTCTCCGTATTAGAAAAGCCTTCACCCATTTGAACAGATCACCAGTAACACCATATGCTTTTAACTTTAACAACAATCTATCAGTGCCACTTTATCAAAGGCTTTCTGGAAGTCAAATTATATGCAATTGAATAAATGTTTATTATCCAGACATGGAGACCACTGATCAATAACTTCAATAAGATTCGTAGAACAGGATCGACCAGATCTGAAACCATGTTGATGATAATTAAATTATTACTTTCCAAATGATTGTATATTGCATCATTTACAACCTTTTCCATAAATCTAGAACTACACCCTCTTCTAAGGATTTGTTAAACAGCAAAGTAATAATGTCCCCTAGTTCATCCGCAGTCTCATAATATTCGTGAGTGGATATACCGTCTAGTCCTGAAGATTTATTTATGTCTGACTCTTTAAATAATCCACCACATCTTTCCGATTAAAAACCAGGGTCTTCAAAATGGGAAATGCATCGGCTATGAATTTATTATCAAAAACTAAGGAAAATAATGGAATAAGAGGAGATTTTACAACTTAAGATTAACTTTTTTTTTGCTCAGATAATTCCTAGTGATTAGGGGCTCATGCACCCCTCGTTTTAAATACAAAACTGTCATTAGCACAATTTTGTTACTCTGTCGCCATTACGTGAAAAATTACAGGTCTACGCTCCACATATTTGAATAATAAGTAGCTATCGATCTTAAATACACTCCGTAAACTTGGATGTTATGAGAATAATCATCTTTATTTTCAAAATATCAGGGCACTATTAATCGACCCTTGGATATTGCTATCACGGTCCCACAAAACGACACTAGCAGATGAGGCTTTTAATCTGATGTAAAATAATTTTATGGAGTGTTTAATGCTCAAACGAATTTTAGAGAAATATGAATTTAGCCCATTAATATCGCTAGCATTGAATGCGTCAAACAAACAAATGTTAGCCCCTAGCTTAATTCTATTGGCACATTTATTGAGTATATATTACCAGTTTGGGGAACGGGTTAAATGCAGAATGAGGGTGAAGTTAAATAATTAAAAAGGGATTTAGGCCTTTAGGGGTTATTCTCATGGCCGTAGCTATAAGGAAGTCTTTGAGGCAATATTCCATTCTTGAAGGAGAGACATAGAAGTTTTGGATTAAACTCGGAGGAACCAATTGTATCATGTTCTTCCTAAAATCAAATAATGTTCTTTATAATTTACTGAGTTTATAACTCATATTTCTTACCCCCAGTACATCAAGACATTATTTAACAAAGGTTTGCATAAATATTGAAGTAACTTGCTTCATTAGGCTCTACTAAGGCCATGTAATTTTTTTTTAATTGGTTAGTATCCTTATGTTTTCAATTTTCATGGTAGTGAGGGGCGTTTTCTTTCTTTTTTCCCCTCGCGCCAAACATGAAAAAAGAGTGTTGCAAGAAAAAACAGCAAAACAAATAAGAAAAAAAAAACAACAGAGACCAAAATTGCATACAAGAAAATTATGTAATTCATCTATAACAAGCAGAAACTTTACCTATGAATACGGTAACAGTCATAATGCAATTATCTATATACAGTATAATCACCCACAATTTACTCCAACACAACAGTCATCATGGATGCCATGTGGCTACAGTATAGAAAAACAGTAGTGCAAGTGGTCTGGCTAGCGTGCGGACGGGTGGTAAACAAACATAGGCCTATTAAATGGAGTTTGTGAATGTTTCGTTAAAAAAAAAAAAAAAAAAAAAAAAAAAAAAAAAAAAAAAAAAAAAAAAAAAAAAAAAAAAACAGGTCGGTGGCCTCTCTGATGGTAGGGAGGGAATGCTAACCAATTATTTTATTTTTATTGGCCTACGTACTGATTATTTAAATATATTTTAGTATTATGTTAGTGGTTTTTACTACTACGACTTTGTATTCAATTCGTTTCAAACTGCAATGCAGTGGTGGCGTCAGGATTTGACCCACGGTGGGTCCGAGGTCCCCGACGGGGGGGGGGGCGACCTCCCCGACGGAAAAAAAAGGTGGGGTGGTCGGGTGTCGCTCAAAAGCTCTCAAAAGTGATCCAGGGGAAGCCCTCGAAAAATATGACAATTTAGGCATTTCAAAGGTTTATTTAATCGATTTTGGAGTCTACCAATATGTAGAAAATACATATAAATTTTGTTTTCTTTTCGAATTGTGGTTTTTCTTCCCGGCGGGGGAGCCAGCTCTCCCAAACCAATAAAGTTCAATACATTTACTAAAAATTCGAATAGTTTATGTTTTTGTACTTTTCATTTATCTCTATTTCTGTGTCTAGATGAGCCATATTACATGAGGATGTCTCCCAAACCTGGTGGATTAAATAGGCCTACTAGTTTCGACAATATACCTATTCCTTCAAAGTCTGGAAAGTCTTTCAGGTCCTGCAATAAAGTGGTAAATATATCTCCTTTCATTTAAAGATTATCTGAGATTTTTAATATATTTCAAATTATACAGATCAAAACAATTCATTGCGATGCACTGTTGCGATGATTTTCAGGCTTTTCACTATAAGGTTATTGGTGGAACAGACCGAATCGGCGACTCCAGCTATTACTGGTCACATGGCATATAGAGGGTACTAAATGTAAACATCCACATCGTAAACCACAGTGCGCTCATTGAACACATTATATTGAGAGAGTTATTATGTTTTTTAGACGGCGACCTAAAGTTCGTTCGTTCATTTCAATTTATTTTCCATTATCGTTAAATAATACAAAAACAGTACGGTAAATTATTACAAATAATGGAGGGAGGCCCAAATAGGTCAAGACACTTGAGCTTGGGCCACCGTTGAAAAAAGTAAAAGCTACGGAAAATGGTAATTTACAAATTAAAAATTTGGCTGAGAATAGTAAAAAAGAAACGGTTGGCAGATATAGGCCTACTCAAGACAAGATATTCAGATTAAAGTTAAAATAAATTTAGATGTTCAGATTAAAGTTAAAATAAATTTAGATGTTCAGATTAAAGTTAAAACAAAAGTAAAATAAGGCAGTAGGCTAATGTTTTTTTTTTAATAGTGATTTATAATTACTTGGCAATCTCCGTGCATTTGTATTTAGGCTCTGGAATGCTGCTAGTGTACGGTAGGATACATACAGGTATAAGCCTAGGCTGCTGTGAGTGTAAGCCTTAACCAGGGCCCGGAGTAGGGAGGGACAATATAAAAGTAGTAAACATTTAAATAATTAAAACTTTAAAATACAGACAAAATGAGGTTAAACAATTTGTCATAAAAGTAAAAACGCGCGAAAAAAAATACTTTAAAGAATAACAACATTAATAATAATAATAACAAGAAGAAGAAGAAGAAATAAAAATAATAATAATAAATAACACCTTAAAATAACGAAATTACCAAATTATAACTCGCATTCCAACCAACATTTGCAACATCTATAATGTGACCTACATCAACAACAACAATGCGAAGCCATATTCAATGCACTGTCATCTCCAGATGTAAACAAACCCGCCCACTATAAGTCACGTGACCCGAGCCGCCGATTCGGTCTATTGTTTATGACACTGTTATCACAGAGGACAATATTGCTTTTGTTATACTATTCAAATTAAGATTTTATAACTTAATGCAAGTGCTAACATTTAATATTTAAGTTTATCAACTATAGACACACAATGCATGTTTTTAAAAATCCTTTAAATTTCTGGCGGAATTACTTTCAAATTAATTTTATGACCTATTTTTTTGAAGCCATGTCTCGACTATGGTGTTATAATTATCACATTTTAGTCCAAGTTGCCATGGTGTGGGTTCAAATAGGCCTACATACTGTACAAATAAGCAAATGGTAAATTACTATTTTATAATAATGTGGGTGACATGATAAATCGTTATTGATATAATATCACGATTAGAAATCAAAGATGTATGGAAAACATTGTTAAGTTGATGACGAATATCCATAATACAGTATATACATTCCTTTTTAACTGCAGGTTTCGCTTGATTTTAATCTATCTTAAAACTTCTTTTTTCTTCTAAAACTAAATATACGTGTGTACAGTTGACATTAATTTACCATTGTTGTAAGTTATTCATTATCAATATTTTTTTACAGATTAACTATGTTACATATCCTCGTGTTGATCGAGGACACACTTCTACGCCACTGCGGGATCTCATGGAATTCAGCTATTGTGATCATTTCTGGGTCTGTATTACTATTAGTACTGTATGTAAAATAATTACGGCCATTATGTGCCATAGGGCCTATTATTTTAACCAACACTTGAATTTTACATATTTAATAACTTTATAAAATGAACTTACTTCTCATAATAATTAAAAAATATATTGAATAATGTATAATAATATTGAATAATATTTAATAATTACCGTACTTTTTTTATTAAGGCCTGCAAATATTCATATAACATTTACTGTCAATGTATTGGGTTAAATGCCTGTTATAGCTTTTTCCAATATCATCGCATCGTGCGGGACGGTCCCGCATTTCAAAGTGATTTTGGTTGCCAAACACGCATTTGGCAGGACACATGCGTGATCATAAATTTGTCGCGCATTCAAGCACAGGTCTATGGGGCGCGTGATAACGAATTATCACGAATTCAGGGAAAAAGTATTTAAAATTAAAAGAAACTGGTTTTATTAAACTCATAAAAACGGTCATGCAGTAATTTGAAACATTAGACAGTATTTTACGTGAACAGGCCTACTTAATTCACTGACGCGCACGCGTTACTAAAAATTGATCAGTGTGCCTACTCAGTAATAAAATCTTTGTGAACATCGTTCGTGTGCTCAAATTAAACAAAATGTACATTGAAACTCAAATTGTACGTGGCTTCATTAAAAATATTTTTGTTTATTTACCGTACCCGGTATTGTCAACAAACACTTCCTGAAATCCATTTAAAACAGCTTTAAAATGCTCAGATCGTCGGAGCTCCACGGGCCCTCGCCTGGACCCCATCGGGGCGGCGCCTCTGGACCCCGGATGGTGACCCGGCGGCTTCTGTCCATCCCTCCAACCTATTGGTGTAACGTCACACATTTCAAATCTCTCAGGTTGTAACTATGCAATATATAGGCCTAGTGAAAAATGCTTTAAAATCACATTCTAATTCCTATTAGCAATACATTTTAGGAAAATGCATGTAAAAATGTCATTTATAGAATACTTTTTTTTTTCCATATTTTATTAGGCTTATTAGACCTAACTTGACACAGTCCCACTCCGGCCCAGGTGAACAAAGATGGAAAAAGGACCATTTGAAATAAAAATATATGTTGATTGAAAAAAAAAAATCTGATTTTTCCCAAAAGTGATGAAGGAGCGGGTGATAAACTAATAAAAAAAATTTATGGGGCCTAACACATACAGTATTATCTTCTCAGACTTAACACAAACTATTGACGATCTTCTCAGCTAATGTTTTAGGTTTTAAGAATCACTATAAATATATTCGAAATCGTTTATTTTGAAGTCTGACAAGGAAGGTGGAAAGTCTGGATTTGATGTTCTCCTTGAAAAGCAGCAACTTGGTCGTGAAATGTTTCAACAAATGTCAAAAGTCATCAGAGATAGGTAAACATAATATACCCAAACACTTAACCAAAACATGTTTATCAAAACAGCAATAATTTTGCCTACAGTATTATACACCGTTTTAACGAATTTAATGCACGTTGTATTCTTGTGTATTCGTTTATTCAATTACATTGTTTGTGATGTTTTAGAGCTGCTGTGGAGGAAACATACGCAAAATCATTATTGAGGATTTCTAAAACAAATCTTGGAATGGACGAAGCAGGGTGAGTTGGAGAAATTGGTTATTAACTTTATGCGAAATATTCGAAGAGCATAAGAAAACTTTACACTTAACAATTAAATTTGCAATAACAAATTTCATAATATATTATATTTAGGCGTATTGTATGTAATATACTTAAAACAAATCGTCATGTACCTTAGACCTATTATATAACTATGCACTATTCTGTTTGATATTGTAGGACATTAGGAGCTGTGTGGAGGGACATAGTTCGGTCTGTTGAAGAAGAGGCAGAGGTTCATCGCTTGTGGGCGTTTAGCCTGGTTGACAAAGGAAGAAAAGAGTTAATGGCATACGCCCAGAAAGTTCGGGATGGTACAAGAAAGGTTGGTTAGAATTTAGATCAACACATTCTATCAAATGAATATGTATACATTTGCTAGGCACTCTATAGTCTTTCTTAACGTCTCTTTTATTTTATTTTAATATTATAGCGTACTTAGCTTGCGTTCTCAAGAAGCTAATAACTTACAATGCAAACGAGTCAGATATTATATTTTATTAAGCTTCATTACATAATTTAATTATATTTTAATTGTTTACACCAAAAATACTAGAATATAGTATGCCAAACTGCAACCGATGACAATTGTTTAGATTTAAATATCGTCCTGATAACCATGGTACCCGGTTTTTATGTACCATAACTATATATAGCTGCCTATTCGTACCATGGAATGAATTCTAAAACATTGTTTTCTATTGCTTTTTTCTCTTGCAGGTAAATCAAATAATAAAAGCAAACCCTGCAAACTAGCCTCTCAATCGAAATTCACCTCATCGGCTAAGAAATTTAGCTTACGAGTGTATGTGTTTATTTTCTCAGGCTACAGAACGTGTAACAAAAAAGAGGAAGCTTCTCCAAGGTAGATACAACGCAATAGATAGGGCGATGAAAAAAGTGTCCGAAAAAGAAGAAAAACTAAAATCTAGCCGAACAAACGTAAGCACTGAAGTAAAAAATTCCTTATTTGCTTGGCAAAGAGTAAAAATAATAACTGGAGCAGTCACTCCATATGCACATTAGGCCTATATGTGTCCACTTTTGCATATTTAAGCTAATTTCCATATGAACGGGACTTGTGATTAAGGTGAGATTTCTGAAATTTGATCCCCTCATCATAAGTGTTTTCTTATAAAGAAAAAAAAACTTTGTTTGCTATATGTTCATATATTGTTTAGTCTGGCCTACTGTTTAAAGCAGCACTTCAAATAAAAAAGGATGCGTGGCCATTTAAAAAAAATTGTGGTCATTTTCGGGGTGTTTGTCCCAGATAGATTTTGGCACACATCCCATGTTGTTCCTAGAGTTCATAGTAGTCTATATCAGTTTAAGGTATTCTCTCTCAAATTAAGTGCATACACATCTTAGTCAGGTCCTCTTCTATTATGCTCGAGGTTAATTTCAAGAGAAAAAAAATCGGATTTCCGTGACTTTGATCTTGTCCTTTGACCTTTCATCTCTTTCTTTGATTATTATGTACCATTCCACTAATTTTCATGATGATCCATTTCTTAGTCTTTGCCCAATTTTGCTAACAGACAGACAGGAGTAATTACCGTACATAACCTCCTTGGTTGAGGTAATAAAAGCATGCGGCATACGACGTGCATGTATACATGTAGGCCTATTGCTACTTTTTGCATATGAATGTATTCCCAAATCTAATATATTATATTTACATACTCTTATACTATATTTTTCGTGTTTATGGATTTCTGTATGATAAGGCTGCAAAGCAACGAGCCACAACTGAGTTTGATCAAGCTGGTGAGTTCCCATCTGAAAGTTTTAAATTATAGAAAGATACAGATTACATTCAACAGATAAGAACGTATTACTGTACTTCCTTTACACAAGACATGTTGGGTTGATGGTAGGCAGGGGGACGAGATCCCCGAAAGGGGGGGGGGACGGCCGATGCCTCCGACGAGGGGTCAGATTTCCCCGACGAAAGCAAAGTGGGCGTGGTCGAGCTTCCAATAAAAGGTTTCGAAAGTGTTTCAGTGCCCCCGAAAAGTTTTACAATTTAGGGGTTTCAAAGGCTTATTTAATCGATTTTAGTGTCTACTAATATGTAGAAAATAATATAATTTTTTTTCTCCCCGACGAATTGTGCTTTTTCTCCCGACGTGGAGCCCTGCCCCTCCCCCCGCTGGTGCCAACCCTGTAGGTCATACATACAGCTGATAACACCTGATACGTAAAAACAAGATTATTATTAAACTTGATTATAATTCCAACCGATTACTCTGTATTTCTCTATTATTTTGTTATATATAATTTAAGAGAGCAAAAATAAAATATTCAAAGTGTGCTATACGTCTAGAAATATTAATTATTATGCCACTATAATGCTTGGTTGGAGTTTGCATGTGTAGCTAATGTGTCTATGTATATTAGGTATTATAACATGCAAATACAAATATATAATAGTATCGTACATTAGCCTAACGATTAAATGAGTCCTTATTTGATATGTTCACTTACATAAAAACACGTAACAATTGTTTGCAGAGGATGAATTAAATTCCACAATAAAGTCTTACAACGAAGCCCAAGGGAATTGGATATCAGAAATGGTGAGGTCGTCTTTGGTGAGTAAATTTATATTTTAACCTTAATATTATATAACAGAAAATGTATTAGGAAACTACAAAGTCAGAAATGGAAATTTCTACGAGAGAAAGCAGGCGAAAAGTAATGGTAGGGTAAAGAGGAGAAAATTGACCTAATAACCGGGACATTTTTCCCGGTACCGTAGCTTATCACAAAGAAACAGAAAAGCTAAATCACCAAGAAGTAGAAGGATTTTCAGAAGGAACAGTGTAGAAACCAAAATCAACCAAAATCAACAAAGACAAATTTTGCCGGTAAAAGAAATTTAATAATACTGTACAGTATATGTCGAAAACGAAAGCGTTATGAAAAAATCCTCCTCACCAAAGTCAAGCTTTAAAACGACTCTTGGATGGATGACATAATTAATGTTGAAACATTGAATCCCAACACGATGGCTCGTCTTTTAATACTTGGAGTAGGCCTATGTATAAACTTTCTTATATGACATTAATCAGTGAAGCTTTCGGTATAAAACAACTCTTCATCAGGTAATAAATATACTCTGCAGGTACAATATAATCGTAATATAATAATTAATGATGCAACGTACATCACTCCCAGCCCTGTTCTGATTATTCAGTTGTTAGATCAAAGATACTAGAAATACAAGATAGAGCACTTGCATAGCACAAATGAGGCGGCGGAAATTGGTCCAGACGTACGCGTTTATAATACTTTTATAATGCAAGTTTTCTATACTTGGTCCAGACGTATAGGGCGCCCTTCTGTTGCTAGGACATACGGCGCCCGTATTTTTCCACTAATTTGAGAAAAACTTTATCACTAATCAGAGTCCGGTCATACGATTCTGCGCTTTTGTGTCTGTCATTTTATTGTTTTGATTTATTTATGCCTACTTGTTTGTATCTCCTTAGTATCTCATGGATAATGGCAACGATTTTAATCTCCGCAAAAGGAGATTATGTATTCACAGTTATGTAACGGTGGCAGAAGTTTTTTAGATCCAGCGGTACGCGGCGCCCCCATTGTTTGTATTCCCAGTGTATTCCCACCATGCATTTCGGTGGAAGAGTTTTTTTTTTCTGTGGAGAACTCTATCTTGTGTTTCTAGTATCTTTGGTTAAGACTCCAGAAAGTACAATGTACTCAGTTTCTTTTTGTTTGGGTGTCAGGAAATGGAGCGTTTTGAGGAGCAGCGTGTAGAATTAATGAAAACAAGTTTTGGTATATATATTAGCGACAGAATAAAAGTTGCTGAACAGCTTGATCGTGTAAGTACTTATATTTAAAGAAGGGAGAGATGTAGATCTTCTTTTATTTTCAATGTTCTGATCCAAGTACATAGCAAGTGGCTCAAGTTTTCTCATAAATTGAAGCACGGGTTAATGGCCTATAAAATACACAAAATATATAATTTACTTTAACCGTGGTGGAATGTAACTGAATATTTTAGGATGGATTGGCAGGATGAAAATTCCCGTATGTGCGGTCAGCCCATGTTGCAGCTAATCAGAATTAATAAGACATTACCTTCTATTAACTATTATATTACTTTGTTTATTGTGTAATTGTATCAGTTTTCATTAAGTATTGTCTGTAAAGAAGCTTTTACCTCTCTTTGTTGTGCAAATTGCTCCCATATCAAAAAGTTCGTTTCGCTGTCATAACATTGCTTCATTCTGACCCATTCGTTTATAGTAAAATAATTAACGTCCATTACCCTTTCAGAGTACCGAATGGCTAGATGGAAGAATACAGACTATAGATCCAAGATTGGATAGAAAAGAGTTCGTACTCGCGTGTGGCACCGGCACGCTCAGACCAACCGATTTCACAATGGACGTTTGAGGAGACAACATTGAAAAATAATGTATTACTTCTATGTAGACTTATTTATAGCCCTCTGAGTTAAGAATTGAACTTAAATGATATCTTATTGAATAATATTTATGTAGGCCTGTTTCGGCCTCAGAGTTAGGAACTGGATTTAAATGATATCTTATACAGTATATTATGATTCTCGAGACAAGAACAAGTAGTTTCATGTATTTTTAATTAATTTTATTAACTCAAGACAAAACATAGTAGGCCCTATTTTTAAAATTAAAATATAATAAAATTTTGTGTAATTTTGTGTTAACTATGGTATTCTATGGGATTTTCTTTTTTAAGTTAAGAGTCCCCCTCTCGGCGGTACCAGTCCCCTGTCGGAGAAGAGCTGGCGCCACGACTGCAACCCATACGCTCGCAATCCTCACACATACGGTAGCACTGCTCGCACTGAACAGTTTTTAATCCCTAAAATCTAACAGCTTAGTAGATCATGCTTGAATTGTACTTTCGGTGCTCGAAATTTGATTTTTCCTGACGACCTTGCTGGAAATTCCCCGACAGGAGGGTCCAAGTGGCGTCCAGATACCCCGACAGGGACTCTTTGCCCCCCCCCCCCGTACCCACGCTAGCGTCGCCCCTGACTGATATGCTGCTGCTGACGATGACAGAAGCGACAACTGTGGTGATATTGATGATGATGATGATGATTAGGTACCAGATACAAATATTTAATTGTAATGTTATATTGTTATGCTACTTTACCTTTTTGGTTGATGAATACCGAACTGTTTGTTTAAAAAAATCCTGGATTATCATTCCATCTTTTTTATTAGGTTTTTTTCTAAAAAAAATGGTTATAGAAAAGTATTTGTTTTATATTGTATTTCAAAGAAAAAAAAATTGTGGATTACTAGTAGGCATATAGAATAAAGAAAGTGGTTTGGGCATAGTCTGTTTTGTTTTACATTGTTTGATTTCTGTGTTTCATTTTATATCTATACTAAAATCGATACAACGATATTTAATGTAGTGTTGCCAGTTTTAAGTTATTTATTTTTTTAATATCTGTTTCATTTAAATATTTACACACTTGAGTATTATATCTCAAAAATTTAGAATTATTTTGTCTTAGTTAATTGTTACAATTTGTCTTTCATAAGAAATTATAATTTTATCATTTTAAATTCGGTGATGAGCAAATATTCTATTGTTCTTAAAACACATAGGCCTAGTCCTAAGTCTACACCCAGGATCATGCCGCGAATTTAACTACTTTTACTGGTATTGTGTACAGATGGTATCATTATGTACTTTATCTTGAAACAACATAGGCCTATAACTTGATCTAAACTTTATAATAAAAAAATAATTGCCCCATACACACAATGACCTCAATTTAATGACAAGACCTTGGTTTTAATATGGACAAACTTCGGAGAGCAGAGACTGTTGACATGCGATGACGTATAACAGTGTCCTGAAACTGAAAGGGTTCGAGAACAATGTATTTGAAACGGTTTCTGCACTCTAACAATTCTCTAAATAAAATATGACACTCAGCTTAAGTACACTGAGATAATCACCAATTGTCACTAGGACAGGGGACACAAATCTGAATGCATTTACACATGGATGAACAAGTAGGCCCAGACTGACTGGCTTAGTTCGAGGCTGTAGTGTCTGTATAAAACACTGAAAGATTTTCAGTAAGGCATAATTGAATGTATTAGGAGAAGTGAATTAAGAGTTGGTTCCGTCAAACAGTTTTATTGAAATCATCGAGATAGACCTATATAATTTTAGTATCTTTTTTGCTTGTTAAACTTGTGTTTGTACTTAAGATGTCGGTATTTTTACAAAAAATGATGAGACCACTACGCCTGGATAGTATTACTCGGAAAAGTCGTAAAAAGTCAACAGGCAACGACGGTTACTCGGTATCACCAATCCCTTCACCAACCCGTAAATCTCCTAGCGATACATTGATACAGGAGACCACAAACGAGGTTTTTGTTGAAGCTGTTGAAACTCCACCAACTCTTGGAGAACTCAGGATCTCAAGTTGGAGATCAATGTCAACTGATGACGAAGACACATCTGGTACTCTTCGTAAAGAACGATTAGACAAACTACAACACTCTATTACGTGGCTGCGTAAAGAACTGGTAAGTTTGACAGACTATTCTTAAAATACTGTCTGTACAGCGCACTAATATTCTATTTGTTTATTATTGTGTATAGTTATAATTAAATACAAAGATAGTCTGAAATTTTGCTTATATATAGGATATAGGCTTATAATACAGGCCTAGGCTATATCTGATAAATAAGTGACTCTGTTGTACCGTAGAGGAAAAGAATTTCCTCCATAATTGTACCAGTATAACCACTGAAACGGAACCGTCAACAATTTAAACTGTATATTTTTTTTTTATTACATTCCAGTCGTTCTGGATCAAATAGGCCTAAAAATATCTTCATCAAGGTCATGTTATTATTTGTCATGCCATACCAGTGAAGTTTTTGACGTCACAAATTCCACTTCCATAGCACATGATTGTATCGAATTAGGTTATCAGTAATTTATGTAGAATACCGACGTCATAACAATTCACCAGCAGTCGCAGCTGACATTATTAGGCCCATTATAATCGACATAATGATCCACCCACTAGTACGGTCTATCATTATCATCATTTTTCGTCGCCGTCTTCACCATATATTTTTAGTATAATTCTCTAGTCTCTTTAAAATGGTTGTTCTGAACTTTTGAGATAACCATTAGATGTTTGTGCCTTATTGATTATGAAAGACCTTACCATAATTATAAAATGATGAAATCATCTAATGATGAATAAAAGCTGTAGCCGCGTTCGTCTTCTATAGAAACAATATAAGAAATTTAAAATTTCTCTCAGTACTTTAAATAGGGCCTAATATTTAGCTCTAGCTCCTGATGTGGACGAAAGTTGGATCTAATAGGCCTATAAAATAGTATAGGCCTAGAGTCTATGCTGACATTTGCCATGTCTTATATTGTTCTATTCCATTGCTATCGGAATTATGATTTTCTTATCTTACAATGCCATATAGGCCTACGCACTTTATTTTCTCTTAAAGATTGAAATGCGTGCAATGGATCAAGTACTAATAAGACAATTGATGGATATTCGAAAAACCATTCAACAGCTAAAAATAGAAGATTGTGAAACGGAACAAATGCAAGTGGACGAGTTTGATTTGAAACTAGCACATCGAATGCCAAGAGATCAATTGGGAACAATCAACGAACATGGAGGAAATGGAGAGAGTAAAAAAAGAAACATATTTTCGAATAGTTCAGAAAAATCTGAAACAGAAGATATAGATGAATTCTTTGAGATTACGAAAACAGACTTAACATTTGACATACAACAAATGATGGATGTATGTTTATAGAAATGTACAGGCGCCATTTTTATTGTTTGGGTATTTTAACGCCAAGGAAGACATTGGGCTTATTCGACTGGTTCATTTCGTTGAGTACGAATTTTCGTTGATTAATATTTTCATTCGACTGGTTCGTAAAATAGAATTCGTTGACAACGAAAATTAACGTAACCAGAATGCGTTAATCAGCGTTAAGTTATGCACGTGACCAAAAGAAAATATGGCCGATTGATCAGTTTAGCAACAACATTTGCGTTAACATAACCTAGATTAAATTTCAGAAAATAAAAATTATAATATTTACCCACATTGAAGTTAAAAAATAATTGTAGGCTAACAGAACTCAAAACTGGATGAAAACATTTGTTTACGAAAAACCCATACTGCCACAATCCGAAGCAGCGTGTATCGCGGTAACTATGCAGCCATTTTGTTATGTTTTACAACTGCGCAGGTGGGCGTGGTTTAACGAAGAACGACCAGTCGAATATGGCCATTAGGCGATATATCCTAAACAGTTGTTCTCAATTTTCCGCCGTATTTCAAGTTTGTTTACCTGCTCTTGCATCTATCAGGAATTATATCGTCAACAGTGTAACAACAATATTTAAAACTTGGAAAAAAGTTGTCAAAAGTTTAATTGATGTTTTAACTTTACGAAATAAATTAAATGAAATCAGTTAACATTGGTAAACTGTAGAAAGGAGATAGCAATAAAAAAATCATCAAGATAAATGCGGACTTGGTGTAAATTACTGAAAAGATAATATCAAACAAGATACACTTTTTTTATAAGAACCAGTAAAATTTTGTCCAGACTCAGGCTTCTTATTTTTTGGCCAATTTCAGGCTCAAAATGTTCTTATTTTGTTCTTATTTTACACACTTTTCAAACATGGCAAATTATTATTGTACAGCTATACACTGTACTGGGAGGTGAAAGCAGCCCTGTAAAAAGTGTACCCTGAAAGAAAGGCCCAGCAAAAAATGACCCCACAAAAAAAGCCCCGGTTGTTAAACTCAGCCTTACAGGAATTTGTTCTTGTTTTGTTCTTAATTTTTAAGCAATTTCAGCCTTAGTGTTCTTATAAAATGTGTTCTTATAAAAAAAAAGTGTACATACGATAACGATTTCATTAAGACCACCAACTTAAATCTAAACTTTGTCTAAACAAGTTTATAAACAAGTTGGTATGACAGGACATTTCTCAATATGGGAACAAATGATACCAAGCGAAAAGTTAATTTTGCTTTGGGCTGGATTTTAATAAATCAATCAAATTAATCGATCAATAAATAAATGCATGTAATCAATCAATGAATTAATAGGCTAGTTTTCAATAAACAGTTAAATCAATATGTATATTTAATGTTAATCTTTAGACTTTGTGAGATTGTTTCACGTGTTTAAAGCAAACTAAATGGCATTGTGGTAGTTGGAGAGTTGTTGACCTAGATTTTAGATCGGTAATCCGTATATTATTTGTTGGACGAAAACCGGGTGTCAAATGCCTCTACGCAGGGGATTCTTCGCATGACAATCATGGCACGTCCATTCCAATGGCCCAATCGTTCCAAGTGACACAAAGTACAAGTTGCAACGATGCAAAATTATTATTATTATTATTAATATTATAATTATTATTATTATTATTATTTAAATAAAACCAAACCAATAAGATAAACAAATAAAGAGAAATGAAATTTCAAAATGAGGAAATAGGGATATTCAAAAGGAAAAATAAATACTGTGGCAAACCCAATGGCCACTATTCCCAACTATGGTTTATACGTAGAGCAAATACAAAACAACAGGATATCCCGGGCTTGCCTATTACATTAGCAAATTTTCTTCCACACACTAAACAAACACACCTTTAATGATCGAGAGCACAGATGACCACATAGTGCCTACTAAATAGTATTTCGTGATGTGACTAAGCACCTACGCTTATTAGAATAATACAGTAGTAATAATAGAGTAAGTGGGTACGGTGAGCTAACCACCCAGAACCCCTCAGAGATTTGAAAGGCTTAATTGCTTAAAGTTTAAATATCTGTGACCACTGTTTCTCCCTATTGGATTGTGTTGAGCTCCATAACTGGGTGGGGAAGGCTCTCACCACTGCATGCAAACAATTTTTCTAGTTATGTTGTGGTGTCCTCCCATTTTTCCACTTCGAGATTTTATCTTAAAAATATATTTTTTAACATTAAAAATTAGTAATATATTTATTATCTAATCAGAATAACTTAAGTCAAAAACAGCAGATAAGATGTCAAGCTGTTATGGTAGTACGAGTAGCTATGCTCACAACACACAAAATACAGAAGAGAATGCTGACAAACCGATTTTATCTACATTTAACGGACTAACTTTAATATACTGATTGGTACAGCATATCATATCATCATCATCATGTTGGAATGCAGTATAGACTTAGTTCTCTTATGGCATATTAGCATTAATCAACCACTAATGTAACCACTGAACTACAACAATATATGGTAGCAGAAGAACCGAGATCCCCTAGCATAATGACTAACAAAATGTTTTACCGAAAACTTCCCTAAATACTATAGGGAATTGAAAATCGTGATTTATTAGTTTAGAGTTTTTTCGTAACAAAATAAGGAAAGAGGACGCAATCTTTACTTACTGTCTTTAAACGGATCAATCCCTACTTTCCCTTTTAGCTGAATAATTTTTAGCTGAATAATTTTAATCTCTTAATTAATTACTTTTACATGGTGCTCTACAAAATTTTTAAAATTCTAATTGTTTTGTGATTCTTATTAGATTATTTTCATAATGTTGTATTTTTATGTATTTTAAAGTGGAACCAAATAAATTCAAATCAAATCAAACCAAACCCCACCAAAAGGATTGCTTATGATCAAATCTGATGATGGTGAGCTCTTATCGCTTGTGGATGTGTATAAGAGACAGGGATTCCACTTTTGGGAAGTACAGTTTCTGAGAATGTATTACATTGGTCCCAAATATTTGATAAGAAAATCAATTAAAATATACTTTATATACTAAATATATACTAAAAATATAAATGTTACTTGTTTGGTGAAAACATCAATTCTATTATTAATTGGTTTAATATTTCTATTAATTGGTTTAGGCCAAATGCCCAGGATATGCCAAAGAGTGAACTTGAACGAAAATGAATTAAAAACCCTATGTGTGTGGCCCACCAAACATCTTTTTGGATGGAAACACCTTGATTTTTATAGCTTGACACCAATTATTGGTAAAGAGTAATATTAAAACTGAGAATAAAAATGGTATAACAGCAGTGCACTGGAAACATCAATGTGCGCGGCCCTCTGTGTTATATCAAAAATTCACTTTGGCCCTCCGACCGATTTTTATGCCCACCCCTGCTCTACATAAACTAAGTCTCATTAAGAGGCATAGGGAGTAGAGTTGGTATGATAGTGAGGAAAAACCCTGTTACTATGGCAAGAAGTGAACCCAGGACCCTTAAATTGGAAGGCAGCATCTTAACAACCAAGCTATTCAACTCAATCAAAGCTCAGCTATGTTCTCATGGGTTGCAACATATTTACAGTTTACAATTCCACTGTGTACTTCAAATCTAACAAAATTTGTCATTGTTTGTACCAACTACTCCAAAACCTTGTGGCTGTTTGACAATGGAGGATTTAGTTTTAATAAGCAGTTTTTATATCCATTTGGTGAATTAACACGTCATACTGTACTGCAAATGTTTCCTGATAATGTACTTCATGATTTGAGATTACCCCTTAGCAACGCACCTTGCTTTAAAAGTTCCTTCCCCATTAGGTCCTAGCTTTACAGCTACCCATTTTTTCCACTATAAGATTATAGCGATATCAGAGCATACCCTGTGAAATTAATTTATGGACATGAAAAATGATTAACAATCAGCAGCAACCACAGATTAATGACCACCATATTTCAAAGTTTGGTACACCTTCCACACAGTCTTCGCTTCCTCAACCTAAAAAGAAAAAAAATCATTTAATCATTAAATAAATATAATATTATCTACATGGGATCTGTATTTAGACAGATGGAAAGTCAATCTAGTTACTGTAAAACCTAAAATGTTGATTTCATTTATCAGGGGCTTCTATGACCCTTAAGTTTATAATGGGAAGGGGTCAGTCAAGTAAATTTTTTTGAACATGTGGATACTATAGCAACAAATGACTTTCTAATTCTGTACATTGTAGTTTTCGGAGGATGTAGCCTTATGCCAGATTTATTCAATATACAGCAATTGTTTTCATACAGCAAACTCTTTGTCGAAGGACCAAATAATGAAATTGTAAATAAAGTAGTGAGGATATTTGGTTTTGTTAAAAGGCTTGTGAGGATGCGAGATCCCTTTGTCTTATATAAATTATATATTGTCCTTATTCGTCCAATTTTAGAATATGGTTTGCCATCATGGTCCACTCATACAAATAAAATAATACAGTCTTGGAAAATGTATAAAGGAGAATGACCAAAACATGCAATTTAATCAAATATCAGGGACATTTGAAATTACTTAATATGAAGTTAATATGTTGTTAATAGAATTAAGTTTATTACATTAAGTTTTATAGCTAAATCACTATATTGAAATTAAATATAAATATCTTAAATTATGTAGCAATAGACAAAAGACACATAGACGTCTTAAATTTATCCACACACTTTCAAGAACTAATACCTAAATTGAATTTCTTTAATTCCTTTCCTCGTATTTGGGAGGAATTAGGAACTGATATTCGTGATGAACTTCTTACTAGTCTCCAACCATTTTTAAATAAAATCAAAACGTATTTGCATTGATTTATTTCATTTTGTCAGTCATGTTTTGGAGAGCTCCCTGACAATTTATCTAGGACTACTGGAACACTTCTGAGCAATCCTGTCTTGTTTCTCTTTTTGGTTATATTTTACTTATTTTGTAATGTGTTTACTTTATGTATGTGGGACAAAATAAATGAAATGAAATTATAGAGAGGGTGGCTAGGATCCTTTTTACATGACACCTATATAAAGAACAGCACAGCAACCGAACCCCTAGGGAGCTCAGTAGCCGAGAAGGCCAAAAAAATACTATATATCACATAATCACCTTTGCGTTCAAGGAGCCACAGGATTCCAGCATGTTCAGCAACTCAGCATTGTCAAGCTCCAACAACATCCCAGTTATATTACCAGCTAGCTCACTGTAGCTAGGCTCAATAATGTGGTATAAACGCTCACCCAACATCTGCATCTGCTTCTGTTTCAGTGGATCCTTAGCTTGGTGAGCCACCAACACAATCATAGCTTTAATTGTCTACAAATAAATAAAAATACAGGTCTCCCTCAAATTAAAGACCATTTTTGGCTTTGGTCATTAATTAGAGTAATACAGATAAAAGATGTTAATTTGAGACCATAGAAAAATGGTCTTCAATTGGAGGTGGTCTTTAATTGGAGGGGTGTTTAATTAGAGAAAGACCTGTAATTTAACCACAAACAGAAACACATGTCAGAAAACTCAAATAAGAACACTCTAAAAATGTCATAATTTCATTGAAATTATGGATTTCTATAGACCATAATTTTGTACATTCAGTGCGTCTATTATTTTTATAATTGATGGTAGAATATGTTGGGCTTTGTCGCCTATTTTTATATTACAGAAATAAAACATTTATTTTCCCAAAAGCACTGTGATTAGAATTGCCTCTCTTACATATATTCTCCTCACCATTTAGTTATCCAATTATTACATTATGGTGCAAAATCTTATATGTAAATGAGCAATTAACATAATCACACAGGTTTTTTGTATTGTCATCTTTTAATTTACAAGCTACTGTAATTTCAAAATATACAACATATCCAACTAATATCCAACATCAATTTTCAACCAGAACCCTGCGGGTGCGTACGTTCCTTTGTACGTAAAAAATCAATGTACATTTGGGAAGTGCAATAACTTATTGTATCTTTTTGAATAATGATTGTGTAAGGTAATACAGTATTTTCATTTTCAGTCAAAAAAATCAGAGGCGGATCCAGAAATTTATGAAAGGGGAGGTGGGCGGCACCGCCCACTCTTGACGTCTTGCGCCCATCCTAAAACTATTATTAAGGCCTTCCGCCCAGCCTCATACAAATTCTCCTGTCCCCCTTAAAATTATGAAGAAACACAAGTTTTTGCTCCATAAACTGTATTTTCTGGTGAATAAGCCGCAAATTTTATACACGATTTTCCCCTCAAAGTTTGGGGTGTGGCCTATACACCGGTCGTTAACCTACTCCCAAAAAGTTCAGATCGCGAACCGCAGCGAAAATCAGGTGCCGTCTGTCCAGCTTGGGCCCATGCTCCTACTCTAGCCCAATTAATTAGCCTAGGCTTTGAAGGGCTAGTATTTGTAATTATATACTCACTAGGCCTATACAGTGCTGTACTGTCCTACTACATTCTCTACGACAATCAAGCAATTGTTTGGGTTGTTTAAATAATTATTTTCATAGTCATGTTCACTCAAACAATTTGGAAACAAGTTTAATTCCAAACCGCTTCGCTCAAAACAATAAATAAACTTCTTTTCGGGAGTGTGGTCCTAGAGGTCACGTGAGCAGCTTCATTTATGATGTCGCAACAAAACACACGTGGGCTGTTGAAAATTTCTGTTCGACGTCTGGTTCCCGGTGGCTTGTACCGTTATAGAAAGAATATTGATACCACTATATTGCAGAATAAATGCCTGTTATTTTTTATTGCATAAATTAATTTATGCAATAAAAACACGAGTTTTCTTGAAGTTGTAATAATTATTTTACTGGAAATTAATTGAAGAAAGGCATACGTTCGTCCGTCTATCACATGCCTCCATCACATGCTGTATACAGTATGTGTATAGATGGTCAGTCCATCACATGCTGTAAATTTATGTGTCCATAATTTTAAGGTTCTCCCCACCCGGGACTGTCCATCAGATACATGCCTCCATCACATGCTATATATGTGTATAGACGGTCAGTCCATCAGTACTAGGACAATTTCCCCCGGAAAATTAATTGTAATTAATTGTAATTGTCCTTGGTGGGTATGGCGATTCCCGGGGTGGGGGTGATTTTCCAGGGGGTAATTGTCCGGACACACAGTCCATCACATGCTGTAAATTTATGTGTTCATAATTTTAAGGTTCTCCCCCACCCGGGACTGTCCATCAGATGCTGTATTTTCTAACCATTATTTTCCCAAACATCATTTGATGAAGCTATGCTGTAAATTTATGTGTCCATAATTTTAAGGTTCTCCCCTACCCGGGACTGTCCATCAGATGCTGTATTTTCTGACCATTATTTTCCCAAACATCACTTGATGAACTCTGTCCTCCGCCAACCCTTAGGTTCGTCCGTCCATCACATGCTGCCCCTGCCAACCTTAGGTTCGTCCGTCCATCACATGCTGCATATTTATGTGTCCAGAATTTTTAACCATCATTTCTTGGAAAATAATTCCACAAATGTTGAATTTTATTGCTTGACGGCAGGCTGGTGGTAGGCCAAGAAACCTACTTTACGTAATGGTATAGTACAGTTTATCAGATGTGTCTAGGCCTACACCAGGTCCGACGGGTCGCCCAAAGAGAAGCCTACATTACGTATGTGTCTAGGCTAGGCCTAGGTGCACCAGGTCTTAGCCGTTAAAGTATACTAAAACACTAATAGAACACACAGAACACCTTCAAATAATAGCATAGGTAAGTGGCCGAAATATGCCACAACTATCTCAGTTTGCTCGATGCTTACTAACAGTCGTGAAAACAACATAAAAAGAACTTTTCTAGGCAGCTCGCGACAGAAACAAAATGTCGGGAAAGTTTGACCCGACGCATGCGCAAATCAAATTTTCGACTAAAAAACGACTCAAAACTGGTGGTAGGGGGTACGGTATATGTTTTATCGCCTACAGCCTACATTTTTCATCTAACCGAAAAAACAAACATTTCTTGCACAATTGCATGTCCACCAGCAACTATCGAGCAAAATGTATACCTGCCACTATGCACCGTTTCGGAGCCTATTTGTTTACAAATATGCTGACCTCTTTTGGTGTCACATCTCATACACACATTTTACATGTGAACCATTACATTAGTTCCATGAGACCTAAGGTCACAAAGGAACTAATAACAATAAATTTACACAACACCACTGATGACAATACAAAGAATATTACACAACAACATAGAAATACCAAGTCTCTCTAGAGCTCTTCATTTCTTTAGGGAGGCATAAAACAATTAAATTTACACAATTACCTTTTTTAAATCACAGAAATCCAATATGTCAAGCAACTCAGTGTTGCCAGTTTCCAACAACATTCCAATGATCTTTCCAGCTAGTTCGCCAAGCTTTTGTGGCTTGGCTTGTGCCTGGCTGGATGGGTTTAGTGGCTCCTGCTCACAAACTTGGTCAGTTTGTTGTGGAATATCCTGATAAACAATAAAAAAAAAATAGCATACTGTACTACATTATATATCATATTTCATTATTTTCCCCATGGCAACCTCCATCAAGGAGGCATTATTTACCTCCATAGTAGCCTACTGACCATAGCTTCAAAGTAAATTGAAACTTTAAAATAATACTCATTTGTAAATTTCTGTAGTCTTCTTCTTCCAGATTGACAGCCCACTTCACTTTTAAAGACTGGTCCCAGAAGGCTGTGGACTAATCATTCTTACAATTTACTTCTCCCCCAAGGGTCTTGTTGTGTGTATATATATATATGTGTGTGTGTGTGTGTGTGTGTGTGTGTGTGTGTGTGTGTGTGTGTGTGTGTATGTATATATATATATATATATATATATATGAAAAGAAAATATCAAAGGTAATTCCTAAGTATTTAAAATTATCAACTCTATCAATTACATGACTGTTTATTGATAAGGAGATATTTGAAAATTTTGGGAAATTTTGAACAAAATACCATAAATTTTGTTTTAATATAATTAATAGTTAATTTATTTATATTAAACCATTTAGAAATATTGATGTATAATTCATAGCTAATGTGTAAAATAATTTATATACTAAATTTGGTGCATGATGGGAATTTCTACTATAGTTCATTAATCATTTACAATTCAGGGTAAATTCTTTATAGTTTGTACAACTTACCACAGGAATTCCAGCAGACTGACTAGCAACAGTCTGATTGCACACAGCATTAGCATACTTCATTTGGCGTTGTTGAGCTGTTAGGCCTGCAGTAGGAATTTCTTGCGCCTCAGGTTTCCAAAGTTTTAAGCTGCCACTGCTTGGTAGACCAGCTAAAAGAAACAAATAATATTTTGAGAAATATGCCTCATGTTTCCGACTTCCATTCTTGCTCAATATTTTCATTATAATTACAGTAATTTGTTATGAATTACCTAAATGATATATTGATAACACCCACACACTAATACAAAACCAACAAATATGCACCAATATGGTTTCAGACATCCTCGGTTCTGGGTTGGGTTGCAGGAGGTTTATCTCTGATGACAACAATAAATGCCTTAAAACTATCCATAAATTTGTTAACTGTCCAGTATCATTAAAACATTTTAAAGGCAAAATTTAAAAAATTTTCCTCAGTTTCATCTTATAGTATATATTACGCCAGAGATGAACCCACCTGCATAAACCCACCTCATGATTTATATTTTGCATTGCAAATTATTATTATAAACAATATTCAACTGTAACTCATTCTTAGGTTAATTAAAATAAAATGATACATAATCTATGTCATCATGGTACAAAAACATGCCTATTAAAAAAAACCTATTAAGGGGACAATTTCCCCACTTTGGTTGTGTATGCAATTTGTTTGTAAATTTATGCAATATGTTTATTCCCAATTACTCTATTCATAATTACTCCACTCGATCTAGAACTCATATTCACATACCTACCCACAAAACTAATTATTTTCAATATAATATTAGATACCCAGGCCTTACAATGATGAACAATCTTCTTCCCCCAATTCTAAATGCTGATTCTCTAAGAACATTTTCAAAAAAATTGAAACTTCACCTAATGTCGTTCTTTAATTATATATTTATTTCTCCTTTTTTGTTTATTTGGCTCTTCACTATTTTTGTTTGTATCGACTTTATTTTCTTTCAGGCATGTCAATCGCAAGATCTTTGTCTTCTCTGGATCATGCCTTCTACCATTAGCTTACATTTTTACTTCAAACCATATTGTACTGCATTTTTTTTGTGTTCTATGGAAGTTAATAAATGTCTTTTCAATTGAATTGAAAATTATAATCCCCTATTCAGGGGACACCCTTAATAAGGGTTCTAATGTAAATTAAGAACTGGTCATTCTTGATGGAAAGAAAAACCAGCAGAGTAGCACAGGACTCAATACTGGGTCCTATTCCATTCTTGTTTTATGTAACGACATGCCCAATGCTGTGCAATCCACTGCTAAGAAGTTGGCTGACTGTAAAACTATAAAATATATCACATTATCAAAGATATACTGATTGCAATCTACAGCAAGATTTGAACAAACTTTCAGCATGGTCCTAAAAGTGGTAACTTAGCTTCAATGCTAACAAATGTGTTGTGTTCAAGTTTCATTCTGCATTTGAATATTTACTCTCTGAATGAAGTACACTTACAAGAACTACCGCAGCAGAAGGGTGTGTGAATATTGATATATGAAATTTAAATATCATATTCATTGTACATGTAACACACACACAGACTACCAACAAATTGGTATGATTAAGGTGTTTCTCTCACTTTACGGAAGAGAAAACTACTGTCTCTACAAATCTATAACTTAGATTATGCTTCTGCTTTCTGTGCTGCTACTAAACAAGATATATCTAAACTTAAAAAGGTGCAGCGATGATGCACAAAACTTTACCCATCAAAAATACAGATTCAAACATTCAAGGAGAGACATGGTAGCTGATTTCCACCAAACTGTAAAAAGAATACATATTAGTATGCCGTTATAACGGCCTATAATGGCATTACAACACTCTACTATTATGGATTTATAATGCCCTATTACAATTTTCTATGCCCTAGATAGACATGCTGTAAAATGACCCAGCTCTATGGATGCCATTTCATCCTTCAGTTGTGCAGTTTCATGATGATGTTATTTTCAATGGTATTTTTACAAATGACATTACGCCATTCTCAACTGACATTACGATATTTCCCAATCGACATTACTTTATTCTCAATTTACATTACATTATTCTAAATCAACATTAAGTTATTCACAAGGATGGAAAATAATAATATATTAATAACGGCTTCAACAATGTACCCAAACCCTGGCTTAAACACCTGGTTTATCTGTTGCGCATTCTCCTAAAATAAAAGAGATCAGTAAATTTCAAAAAAAATGTATGCAGTATTTGTACAAAATGGGTTTGATTCACAACAATCTTATTTTTAGTAACATGTCATAAATTAAACTTAAGACTTCATCTTTTATTACAGGCTTAATTTATTGTGCATCATCACAGAATAAAAGCTGGCTAATGTGTAGAATGTGAGAATATATTGTTTTAAATAATTACAGATTTATAACTTCCTAGGGCATTATAGTGCCCTATTATGGCAATAATTTTGGCATTATCATTTATTTATTTTCTATTTTTCTGATTTTTTTTTTTAATGGACATGCTGTACAATGACCCAGCTCTATGGAATGCCATTTCATCCTTCAGTTGTGCAGTTTCATGATGTTGTTATTTTCAATGGTATTTTACAAATGACATTACGCCATTCTTAATTGACATTACGATATTCCCAATCGACATTACTTTATTCTCAATTTACATTACATTATTCTCAACCAACATTACATTATTCAACAAGGATGGAGAATAATAATATATTAATAAAATTAGGCAAACTGAAAATATAAAACATAACAAACCTGATGTTGGTTGATTAGCACTGGTCCAACTTGGGTTTCTGATTTGGGTCATCTGCCCTGTTGGGTATAGTCGTGCTTGTGGGGGCTGAACAGCTTCAGCAATGTACCCAAACCCTGGCTTAAACACCTGGTTTATCTGTTGCGCATTCTCCTAAAATAAAAGAAATCAGTACATTTCAAAAACTGTATGCAGTATTTGTACAAAATGGGTTTGATTCATCAATCTTATTTTTAGTAACATGTCATAAATTAAACTTAAGGCTTCATCTTTTATTACAGACTTAATTTATTGTGCATTATCACAGAATAAAAGCTGGCTAATGTGTAGAATGTGAGAATATATTGTTTTAAATAAATTTAATATGATACTATTTTTATTAACAGTAAAAACTTCATCTTGTGATGTTTGCCTATATACCAATAACATAGCAAAATTGGATAATTAAAATCTTACAGGAACTCCAATCCTCGCAATATTTTGCATGTGTTGGGCAGCCAGCTGTGCCTTCCGATCTTCTTTCCGCTGTGCTAGTGCTACATACAAAGGTTTAATAGCAATGATTCGTCCATTCATCTTAGTAACAGCCTTAGTTGCTTCTTCTGGGGACGAAAAGCATACAAACCCAAATCCTCTTGAGATTCCCTTTTCATCAGTCATAACCTGTAGTAGATAAATCATTTTAACAAAATTCTTAAAAACCTAATTTTATAAATTTATATCACATGAGAAGTAAACTTGTCAATAATAGAATAACACTATGTGAAGTCTGTATTTAACTACTTATTTCTGAAGAACTCAGTGATTACGTACATCATTATGTTTAACCTAGTAAAAGTTTAGAAGTGATCCACATAAAAATTTGCCCCAGAAAATTGTACATATTTCATTTATATTACTGTGATACATGTACATAAATAGGAGATTTCATATGTATTTAACTATAGTCCTAATAATAGTCAAGCCTTTGGCTCGCACTTAATACACCACTACAGGGTGTTATTCATGCCCTGTTTTCAGCCACATGTTTTCGCTGACTTTGCAAATGGCCTCGATGTTCCACTGGAAATAAGAACTGTGGCATAGCACTATTCTTCACATCCATTGAACTCTGATTGGCGAGTCATGGTAGCCTGATAGCCCCATTGACAGCAATGTTGATTTTTTTCTCTTATGTGGACCTAAAATTATCTGGATGTCTTACTCTCCACAGCAAAACCTTATGCTTCACCTATGCAATTTGGAATACTTGAATACTCACAAAAAAAAAAAAACTGTGAAATTTCAAGAAATCGAAAGATATTAACAGACCGCTATTTTCTAATAGATGTTCATTATTATATTTCTTGGTGAAGACATTCATAGGTACAGTGCCTTGTCAAAGGACACAAGCAATGCCATCATCATGTTTGAACACTGACCTTTTGATTGATGGACCAAAACCGTAAAAAAAAAAAAAATTTTAACACGCTTCCATATTCACCAATTGAAAGGTAAAGGTAGAAGAATAACCCATAATTCGCAGTGTCAATATGCTAATTTGCTTATGGGCGTGGTCTGTGACTACCTACTGTAGCCACCGTAAAGACTGGCTTATAGTAGCTACAGTACATGCTCACGTCATTCCACAATGACAGCATGGTAACAGGCTGACCCCCAACTCTTCTGAAAGATGCAATGCCTTATTTAAAGGGCACACGAGCCAGATGTGTACACTGGACCTCCACTTTAAGTGATTATCCGAGAAGACTTGGTTCTACCAACCAAATCTTAAGTGGCGAGGAGCAGCTCGAACCAGCGCCCATGTTAAGGCACAACTGCCTTACCTCTTGGCCACTCGACTTGTCACAATTGAGTGATTTAATAGTGTGTTGTATACTTTTGGTTTGTAAATGTACAGTACTTAACATTCAATATTCCTTACAATGTCTTTTAGGGAATAAACAAGGACATAATCACTGACAATATTTATTTACCTTTGCACTTGTAATAGTACCAAACTTTTCAAATTCTTTCTGCAACCGCTTGTCATCAATTTCATCATCAAGGTTCTTTAGGTAAAGGTTAACACCCTGGGAGTGATTGTTTCTCTCTGCTATCCGTTGTTCATATTTCTGTTTAAGCTCAGCTTGACGTTCTGCTTTCTTCTGTGCGGGTCCAACATACAAAATACGACCATCCACGTTGACGTTGTTCAGGTCCTGGATTGCCTTGTAATTCATAAACCAATAATTGTTATTTACCAAAGTAAAAAAACCATGGAAACTTATTATTAATCAGTTGAAACTGCATGGTATCAGCTTTCAATTAAAATTAATGTTTTAATTGAATTTTATTTATAAATATCACTAAATTCGTTATTCTTACATTCCAAGATAACAAACTTGGTACACTACTCTTTGACCAAATTTATCATTCAATCTCGCTTTAGTGTATTTAATACTGATATTGCCGACCAATAAACATTAGCTAGAATATTTTTAAGGCAAATATTTATTATTGTTAATGGCTCAACTTTTTTCAGGAGTCGACAATCCAGTAATGTTTATTTATTTTAATTTTATTTATTACCATTTTTAAAGAGGGTCCAGTTCCGGCAGGAACTAATTATTAAGGGCCCTCAATAAAACATGCATACAATAAAACATGTAACATATTGAATATTCAAAAGATAGAAAAAGTTAAAAGGCCTACAATAAAAACATTAAAATTAAAACTTGTTAAAATCAGACAAAAAAATATACAAATTTATCTATTAATAAATTGCTTAAGTTTAAGCTTAAAAGAATATAAATTTTCAGATAAGCAAATATCTTTTGGAATTAAATTAAAACACAAAGGCACTTTACAACTAAAACATTGCTTAAAAATTACTAAACGAAGTCAAGGAATAAAGTAATTACAATTGGCAATGGATCTTGTAGTTGTGCGAAGCATCACTGTTGATCAATAATAATGGAAGACAGTATGAATACATATAAAAACTTCCCTGTAGTATGTCAATCAGGATCCAGAATGGAAATCATCACCTCCATACCATTGATCCAAAGTAATCAATCAAAATTTTATGTACTGACATGAATATAAGAAACTATTCTGGTTTAAATTTTGTTCATTTATATTTCTAAATTCTTTTTTTTTTTTTATATTCAAAGGCAGAGAACTTTTTATCCAGTTGACTACATTCTGCTACTTTAAATGTTCAATAACCTCCTCTCACTTGAAAAACCAGGACACCAAATGTAATGTTTATTTCACTATTAGTGCTGCTCTTGAACTTTACTTACATTAAAAGGATGATGTTACATATTAACTTTTATAAACTATCACCTTTGATGCTGCTTCATGGTCCTCAAAGCATACAAAACCGAAGCCACAGCTTTCACCATTGTCCCGCATTACTTTGGCACTAACAATCTTGCCATATTTGGAGAACATTTCCATCAGCTGTTCATCTGATATTTCTTCTCCCAAGTTTTTTACAAACAAATTTGTGTAGCTCTTCATTTTATCTCCCATTTCAGCATCTCGGTCTTTGTGAGAAATAAAATCACCTACGTACCTGCGACATAGTTTTAGTTGGTATGAAAAACATGATTTTAATACGAGCTTAAAGTACCTGTAAGATACTGTTTGGGATAGTGATGGCTGGTATTAAAATTATGTTTCTAAAACATTTATTATGAGCGTCAGATAGCATTACTTCCACTTCTTTTCTCCACTTAATTGGAAAAGATTATTATTCTGCTCATCTATGGTAAAACATATTCATTATTCTCTTTTCCAGAATTTTGATCTCTAGATATACAGCACTTTTACTTACACTTTTTTTCCATTGAGCAACATGCCATTCACTTTACTGATGGCCTCTGAGGCAGCATCTTCAGTCTCAAAATGGACAAAGCCGTAGCCTTTAGACTCATTGTTTTCATTGCATTGAATCTACATAAACAAAAAGTATACAGTATTAATAAAACAGGCATTTTTCAAGAACACTTCTCATCATTTTTTTTTTTGAATCCAGTTTATTAAAATTGTATTGAATTAAATTTAATTGGATGTGTCAATAATTTTGTTAATATTTTTTATAGTTTAATCATGGATTTACACAAAGAGTTGTCAAGCAGGTTCTCAAATACCCTGCGGTTATGGACCATTAGGCAGGATGAACCTATGAAGTTGGGTGGGATCTGATCCCCAAGTAGCAGCAGGTACTGGTATGCTATTCCAATGGTGATTGGAGCTGATCTTTTTGACTGAGAGGTATTGTTCCTGCTTCTTGTGCTGAAGAACCCAGTTATTACCCAGCCAGTGTCAAGTTTTAATTGTAGTCTTGATAGCTTGGCTCCTTGAAATGAATAACTTTCATCCTATTGAGAATTACTGTAAATCGTTGAATAAGCGCCTCTCTCAAATAAGTACCGCTTTCGAATAAGCACAGCACCAAACATGATATTTTTTGCGACGCTCTCGCATATGTGCCGCTGCACTTATTCGAGATTATTCTATTTTGAATAAGCGCTGCGGGGTGTAATCGAGAGTACACATTACCCTGTATGAAACACTTTGAGAAACAGGGTTATAAATACAATAACACAATGAAGACACAAGCACCTTTATAAATGTTTATTTCTGATGATGTAAGACCTACAGTATGATATGCCTACTTTAAACTACTACTACTAGATAGATGACATTTAAACAAAATATATCCTCCATACAATTTGACAGTATAACCAAGAAAGTACTAATAAGTAGACTAGACCATTTTCTCAATGCTCAGACATACTCACCCTAACCTTTTTTTAGTCTTACTATAGTTCAGTGCAACATAAAGATTGGGTACCTTAATTTTGTATAACCTCAGTTAGTTTTTTTTTTTTTATTAAATTTTTTGAAATCTGCTTTCCTGTTCCTTAACACTCTGTCCAGAATTTTTCGCCATTCATTGATCAGGAGTTTAGCAGATGAACTTTGCTGACACAAGACCTCTCTCTTTCTTTTTCCTTTAACTAGTTTGGCATCCTTCCTTTTTGTAGACATGCTCTAATGTTTGTAGAAAACACAACTTGTACTCCATTTCAATAGACTGAACAGTGTTGTTCTACCATTATTAACTGAATAAATTGATGCGTGTACCTATATGGTAGATTATCGCATCTTTTCTGAAAATTCTGTCTTGTAACTGTTATAATTTGTGTAGTAGTAGGTGGAGTAGCCATGCCTATGACACATACAGTACAGTAAATAAGAGAATGCTGACAAACGGATTGTATCTACAATAACGGACTAATGACTTTAAGATGTAGTCTACAAGTGTTTATTATACTGACTGGCACATCATATATACAAGTGTTAATAAATATTTATAAGTCATTTGGATATCATCATCATGTTGCAATGCCGGATAGAGACTTGGGTCTCTGCCTAACATCAATCAATAAACCTGTAACCACTAAACTATTGAAGAGTTTCTTCACCTTTATAACTCCTAGTTTCACTATCCTATTCCTGGCTCAAAAACCATTGGAATACAATTATTATTATATAAGGGTTTTTTTTTTATATAGTGATTATAATAATAGCCTTTGTTGAAATAGTGTGAGTAACCTGGCTTGGGAGTGTAGCTACAGTATGTAATTAGTTTAATTACCATGGGGAAAGGGTGACTGATGGGGGATAGAGAGTGAAGAGCGCTGATATAAGGTGATTACTAACCATTGGCAGCGCGAGAGTACAATCCAGCTAGGGGAACAGGCTCATTTATGAGTCCGTCTGGAATTCTGGACCTCCATTGGGAAGAAGTCTATCTTTCTGCTTAAAAAACGTTAACTTATTTTTAGAGTATAAGAATGCCATTTTCAGGCATTTAGAGGTGTCTACAGTATTTTGAAAATTTGCTCACCTCAGCCCCACCATGGTGATCCTGGATCCTCGTTAAAGAATTTCTAACGCTAACAATCGTTGAAAAATTTCTGACATTACCAATTTTTTTCAACTCCATCAGTGAATTTTTATGTGCCAGAAATTTTTAGTGGTAGGGTAGAAAAAGCCAGCTATTCCACTGCATAACAACCTCATTTTTACTAAACATTTTACTAAACAAAGTCCTATCACAGTTGATGTTGAAAGTACTGTATCAAGCTACATATAATATGCATATGAAGACTTGTAGGTTTACATAAGGTAATGGGCCGGACTGTCATTGAAAAAATGGGGGGGGGGAGGGCGCCCCTCTGGCCCACCCCCTGTTTATAACTTGTAGTCGAAATCAGCAATAGCCACCTTCGAATACAAGTTTCATATTAAACAAGATAATCTGACATTACAAGCCCCCGCCGTGTTGCACCATATATACATTGAAAAATTAATGGCATTTAATTGCACGCCGACTGTACCGCTTCATCATGCCTCACATGGCAAGCCCATCAATTGGGCAGCATCGCTTCAAGTCCGCCGGCCAGAATCTGAGACATGGTCGATCTGCTCGAGTCACCTCGGCTTAGACTTGGTCAAACAATCCACTTGAACTGGCTGTCAGCCGAAAAATATATAAATAACATTCTAAAATCCGCATCTCACTTGCGATCAGCACCAAATTTGAGGAGGACCAAGATACATGTAATATTGTCAACGTGTGAAAATTTTAAGTAAATTGATTCACTAGTTCTTTAGTTATGCATCCAGAAGGAGACAGACACAAAGGCACACAAACTCAGTCGTGCACTATTGCAATACCCTACACCTCTCCTATCCTTCAGAGAAGAGAGGGTAATTACTACGGGGGTCGAATTCACTGAAGATGATTTTTACTGTCACATACTTCAGTTCAGCACATTTAATAAATTCTATTATGTTAACCTTAAATGTGTATAGTTAAGGCCAGTGTTGACAGAAGCTGGAGGAGGAATGCATTTTAACCAGCGAGCGAAAATAGCCTTTTGAGGGCCTTATATATTGGAAAATTCTGAAATCCATAATTCGTGAAAATTCAAATTAAATTACCATTCCTTTAGGTGTTGTTATGGACCTGAATTAATGTTTTATGTCTATTACAAGTCTTTTACTAAGTGACAATCCTTTTCCACAAGACTAACATTTATATATGCTTCAAATTTCTAGGCATACATGAAACAGTACTGTATTTGTAGATGTACCTACCTTACAAGACAAGATGTTACCAAAAGCTGAGAATGTATCATGAAGAGTTTTGTTATCAATTGATTTGTCCAGGTTCTTTATGAAGACATTACCCTTGCCAGAACGACGCAAAGTTGGATCACGCTGAGACCACTTAACAAGAATAGATTGACCATTGATGGGAACGAAGTTCATATTTTCAATTGCTCTTTCAGCTTTGAAAAAATGATTTGAACTACTTAGCCATGAAGAATATTAAAATTCATTATAGGTCTTTTTGAGATAAAAAAATAAAAATACAGAGAGTTGAAAAAGTTGTCGCTGTGAAAAAAAGGACTGAATTATACCTTACTGTAGCCAGTAAATAGGCGTATTTATGGGTTTTTTTTAGTTTATTAGTAGAGCTGTGTCTTTTAAATTAATGTTACTAAGTGCTAATATTTCTAAACTTAGAAACACAAAAATTAAGATGTTATTAAAGTCAAATATCAATGTCAAATGAATATTTGATTAATGACATTCCAGGCGCACCCCCTCTCCAACCCNTCCCCCCCCCCACACCGGAAAAAAAATGTACGCTCAAGTAGTTAAATATCACCTCATTTCACCATATTATTTTACCAGCTAAAGGCATTATTTTACCAGCTTAATACATAATCATTGAGCCTTCCCCACTTAACCACGCACTGCCCACCAGCCCATGTTAATGATATTTTCATATTTTAACCAATTATTATCTTGTATATCATATTCAATTTTTTAAAACTGTTAAAAAAATGTTGATTAAAGTCATCAAAATAAAAAAAGAACCTACCATCTGCAGCCTGCTGAAAATTTACGTAGGCGTAGCCGAGAGAGCGCCTGGTGATTATATCACGACACACACGTATGGACAAAATAGTCCCAGCTGTTGAGAATTTCTTGAAAAGCATAGCTTCTGTGACGTTAGGATTCAAATCTCCAACATACAGCGAGGCAATAGGGTAGTTTGAGACTCCTTGTGCATTCATTTTGATAGTGTTTTGACTATTGAGAATTTTAAAAATAAGTTTGAGTGATGTTCAAATATCTTCTGGGTATACCGTAAAACCTCGAATTGAAGCCCTGGGCTTCTTTTTTTGCGAACTTTGGATGGGCTTCATTTCAAGATGGGCTTTTTTTCAAGGCTACTTTTGCAAAATAAAGAGGGGGGGGGGCTTCTTTTCAAAATGAATGCTGTAAATTTTGTAAATTTGTACTATAAAACAATAAATCAGGCCACTGTAACATCAATATTATATCATGAAGTGTATTTAAATGGCATTAAATCACCTAAACTACTCTATAAACCACAGGTGGGCAAAGTGCGGCCAGCCAGTGATTTTTTTGCGGCCCGCAAAAATGAATTAAAAACCCTATCTGTGCGGCCCGCCAAGCAACATTGCTAGAAAACTCCCTCTTGATAGACACCGATCATCTGTAAAAAGTAATATTAAAACTGAGAATAAAGTGGTGTAAAAGCAGTGCTTAAGGGTTTTTTAAACACATTGGAAACATTGAAGTGCGGCCCTCTGTGTTAGATCAAAAATTGACTTTGGCCTTCCGACCGATTTTTATACCCACCCCTGGTATAAACCAAGCTTGTTTTCAATTTATTTTGTATTCTGTACTGTACAGTGTTGATACTGTACTCAAAAGAAGCCTACGCTATGGGCTTCTTTTAGATATGGGCTTCTTCTCGAGGCTACTTTTGCAAACTAAAAAGAGGGGCTTCAATTCGGGATGGGCTTCACCACGAGATTAAGCCCACTGGGCTTCAACTCAAGGTTTTACAGTAATTTATTTTTTGTCAGTACATGAAATCAGAAAGTGAAATGGAAATAATCAGTGATTTTTAAATTTTTGATTATCATAGTGATAATAGCCAAAAGCTCTGTCCAGACTATCAAATTTTATTTGAAAAAAACATGTGACATGCCTAAATATGGTCATGATGACATCACATCATGACCATATATAGGCACATCATAACTTTACATGGCATACAACAGTTTTTTGTCTCATAAAGGCAAAATTTGAGCTTTTGTGGGGGTAGGATGCGCATCTCTCTGAAACTGAAACACTCAAATAGGCTACATACCTTACAATGTGGAGAAGATTTTGCCAAGGGTCCTGTCTGGGGTCAGTCTGTCAGAGAAAAAAAAATTGTTGGAGAAAAAAAATTACATGTATATTTAAATATTAATAGACTATAAAATTGATTACAGTAAGCTTTTGAAACCCCTAAATTGTCATATGCTGTAGTTTCCAGGGGATTTGTTGCTGAACCGGCATGCCACATGCTTGATCATTATGGGCTTCAGAACCCTTGTCAGGCAAATCACACTAACAAACCTGTTCAATGTAACTAGTTGTGAGTTGTGATGGTGACGATTCAAGTGGGGAGAGGGACAAAAAACCTCCTCCACCCTCACCTAATTTTTTTCATAATTATTTTTAAAAAATTGAAAAATAGAAAATTATAAATTTTGAATTCCTGGATTTGCCACTGTCTTGCATGTACAATGGACATTCTTTGTTTAGCCAAAAATACACAAACAGAACACAAAAATTTGTATTTAGCACAGGGCAGAGGTAGGCACTATTTAAGGTGCAACGCTACATTTCTATTTATGTTAACAATAAAGGTGTACCGTAAATGTTAAACTGATTGGCTTACAGTAAACATCAAACTCACTTATAACCACTTTTAAATTCCATGTAATTTAACAAAAACAATAAGATACTTAATTAGGCCATTTATTAAAATAAAGTTCTCTGAAGGTTATACTACAGAATTTATAGTACATTGTATAATAAAAACTGTAGTGAAAACCTTTTCGCTTTACATTACAAAACAAAATGATAGGCTAGGTCAAATGTTATATTAAACTTTTTTTTATTATTATTAAGAAAAAAGGAGAAAAAAAGAAAATTACCCCTCGCATGGTGAATAATTCATTGTGATCGTGGAAGCAATCTCGAGTTCGACTTTGTTTGGAAAATACAACAATTAGAAGTATATTACAGTGTAACACTATAGTGTTCCAGAACATTTTCACATTCGTCAAAGAAATAAACATTTATATACAGTCACTGTCACTAACTTTTTGGTCGGTGCAGACAGGTAAAAATCTTGGGATGATTTCATAACTACGCTAGGCTATATGGCCTAGGCTAGTAGTAGGAGGAGGCCTCGGCGGCCTGCTGCCTGGCCGTAGGCCTACATCTAATTTCGTTCCTTGAGTCTTTAAAATAGGTCTAGAATACTCCTATTAAACGTTAATTTGTTTAGTTTATTAGGGTTTATAGATTCAAGGAATTGCTTAATTTTTCATACTTAATATTGAATTTAAAGTAACTTTCTTCGGGTTCTAAGTAACCTTGTTTTATGAAAGTAATTTTCAATTACAATTAAATTTTTATCGCGGTGCACGATATCTTCGCAGTGACGAAAAATTTGGAATTTTTTTTTGCACACAAACCTAAAAAAATCAAGCCAAGCATTCACTAATAGGAAAATTAGTGGACTGTGTGGGGATAGGCAAATAACATTGGGAGCAGTGATGATGTCACGATTGACTTATAAAGTATTGAAATGAACATAATGAAATACATTAAATAACATTCTGCACTGATATACTATAAGCAATCTCATTACAGAATTTATTACAGTACATGTAACTATTGTTCATGAAATTAAATATTCCTTATACTTAGCTGGTTGTTCATGGGTCAATTATTATCAATTCAGTATACAGTAATATGATTTAAAACAGAGTTCATATAATAGGCCTATGCGTTCAATTAAACAATATAATCCGGCAAGGTGATCAGTTGGTGGTGGTTGAAGCACATCAGAAAATGATGGTTGCATCCATTGGTTAACGTCTGAAGACTGATATGAAGTTCACATCCCATGATTATGGTAGATTCCACAGAAGAGATTGAGTACTGGTTAGATTCCGTCGATGAGAATCTTGATGACTCTGGGACTGTTGACATCATTTGAACATACGAATGGCGTACAATGAAGAGAAGCAACTGCTCAGTAACCATGTACTGTACCATACGAATGGCGTATGATACAAAAAAAATAAAGTGTCTCAAAAGAAAAACATGTAGCATATGCATTGCATATGTTACATATGAAAATGTCACAAATAATGCAACACAGCAGCATACGAATACCGTACAGTGCAAAAAAAATATCTACCATCATTGTAGCATACGGAAGCGTACACTACAAACCTTCTCCATATAATATAATCAATAGCGCAACATACAAAGAGCGTACAGCGCAAACAATTCAAAAGAAATTATTCTATAGTGCAGCATACGACTAGCGTACAGTGCAAAAAAAAAATAACACAAATAAATAGTCAACGCAGCAGCATACGTATAGCGTACAGTGCAAAAATAAATATCTTCCACAAACCATCTCAAAAATAAAGCATTCAGTAATGCAGCCTACGAATAGCGTACGGTGCAAACCAAATAAAAAATAGAATCTCTCCCTGTACAACGTCTTTCAAATCATTCACATAGCATAAGAATTACGTACGGTACAAAATGTTAATAATAATAAAATAGAAAATAATTATCTCGTCCAAAAAAAAAAAAAATAAAAAAACATTTTCTGCATACAATAATCCATGAAACTTCTAGTAGATCACATGTGATCAAAGAGAGTTTGAACTACCAGAAACATGCCATATAAGGCCATTACTAATTAGTTGAAATGAGATTTAAGTCTTGTCCGAATCATAATGTCCTGAATTAGAACCATGAAATGATGTTAATACTTCCCTTTGTAGAGAACTAGGTATGATGGACTGTACAATTTCACCTTTACATCTATCGTGGGTAATCCGGACCACTAAACCATCATAAATCTTGCAACGATGAAACTCCCGACATAATCGTATAATAACGGGACTTGCCTGCAAAATGATGGGGTTTAGCACCTGACTGGACACACATTTTGAACTCTTGTAACTCAGGGTCTCTATCCTGTTATTTAATTAATTTATCACGTTGATTATGAAGTGAAAAACCATCACAAGAAGTTAGGGCATGTACATCCTGAAATTTACAGTCTATTCCCTTACAGGTACTATCTTTCACTATAACATCATCCATCTCACTCTTAGCTTCAGGAGCTTGATCAACTGTTAAACTAGATTTGCACACAATCTTCCAATCGATCCATCGTGTTCGATGACCTGTCACATTATTTTCTATATGTAACCCCTGTAAACCAGTCAAGGGTTTGTGGTCTGTAACAATAAGAAAATGGTTACCACACAAATAATGCTTAAAATGCCTGACACTCCACACAATAGCATACAACTCCCTATCGTAAGTAGACCACTTCTTTTCACTTTTGCTGAGAGCATGGCTGGCATAAACTATAATTCGTTCCTTACCCTCCTGAATTTGAGTCAATACAGAGCCGATGGAAAATTCTGAAGCATCTGTAAAAAGTTGAAATTGTAAATTAAAATCAGGGTATGCCACAATTGGTGGGTTAATCAAGTCTTCCCTCAATATGTTAAAATGATCACACAAAAGGTACACCCTTTGTGGGTTAGTAGTTGCAGAGGACGAACAATCAAGGTAAAGTTTTTCACGAAACGCCTATAACATGAGCAAAGACCCACAAAACTTCTGACCTGGGTGACATTACGTGAAATAGGCCAACGTTTGACCGTCTCAAGATTAGTAGGGCCAGGCTCTATGCTGGCTTTGGAAACAACATGGCCCAAAAATGTGACACATTCATGAAAAAAAGTACATTTGTCTGGGCGCAACTTTAAACCAGCACCTCTAATTCTCTGAAACACTTCCCTTAAATTATTCAACTTCTCTTCAAAATTTCTCCCAAACAATATAACGTCATCTAAGTACACCAACACTCTCACCCATTGCAAACCATGAAGGACCAGCTCCATTAAGCGCTGAAATGTAGAGGGTGCATTTGTGAGACCCATGGGCATAACTTTGAATTGATAGAGAGAATCACCTGTAGTGAATGCAGTTTTGTCTTTGTGTTTGTCATCCACTGAAACCTGCCAGTACCCTGATGACAAATCCATTGTGCTGAAATAAAGATTCCAAGCCAAAGTGTCAATTGTATCATCTATGCGGGGTAGGGGGTGAGAATCTTTGACTGTATGCATATTAATTTTCCTAATATCTACACAGAAACGAAAGGTGAATCCTTTTTCTTAACCATAACTGTAGGTAAGCTCCATGGGCTATGACTAGGCTCTATAATGTCCTTATCCAATAACTCGTCGCACTGTCTCCTTATCCCCTCTCTCATCTTAGGAGAAGTCCTATAAGCTTGTTGCCTAATAGGTCTCTCATTCCCAGTATCTATGGTACGTGTTTGATTAAATCTGTATGATCATAATCCCTGTTTGTTTTGCTGAAAATATCATATCATCTAGTAGTTTGAGGACCTTATCCTTTTCTTCCTCTGTTAAGTTTTTAGGGGGAATGTCAAATATAAATGTGATGAAGGTAACCACTTCACTAATATAATACTCATCCTCCTTCCTATCACAAGCAGAGTATCTGTCTCTTATAC